TGGCTCAAGCCACCCAGTTTGACAACCTCTGCTCTAGGGAAAACCTTTGTGAATCAGGGAATGAATGATTCAAAACTGACATCCCTGTACGCGGGACACCCCCTAGTCGATTTGCTGATTGTACCTGTTGAAATCTGACTGAAAGTTCGCCTGGGTTTTCCCTTCAGTTTTGAAATTCTTCCAGATCCTCAGGTCACCCCCTTCCCCCGCCACGCATTAGTCTATCAATGTATGGATGCTCGGTCTGTTTTGCTGTACTGTTTGTTTACTTGATCCCACACAACCTTTACATCCGCTTTGTTATAAAGTAGCTCACCGCCCAGAGGAGCCGCAGCAGCAAATCTACCAGCCTGCTCGTTACACCGCACACCTGAATTTCCTAAACAAAAAAATCAATATTTTCCCGCTCGGAGTCTTATCAAGTGATGCAAGCCACTCTATGCGAAAGACGCCGGCTTCTATTTTCCGAAGCATGTGCTGTGAGTATGTTACAGTTACCACATGCCGTTACTGATTCCACCTCCATTCTCATACTAGATGTTGTGACGTTATTAGGTTTTTTACTTTCAAACTACTCAAAGGAAATGAAAGACGGACAAATAAGCAGATTGTGACCGGTACCATTAGTATTAGAACTCTGCGCTGGCTGCTGAAGATGGGGACAGAGCATGCATGGGAATGCCCCATGTGCTTTGATGTCAATTCTTGACCCAACTCAATACAACTACTTTCAAACTCCGTTCATTCACCTTTGCAATAAAACCCCATCCACTCTTTCTACCTCTCACTACAGACCCATCTGTGTATATACCGAAATCTCCTAGGTGTGAATTTTCATTGATCAGTTCTTGCACTGATGCTTCTGTTTCACCAGCTATCCATTTCCGGCACCCTCGGTCCAAGATGACTATCCGTCTGTGCAAATCTGTTTTTCTGGGGCGACACTGCAACTCATTCCTCACCAAGTGCTAGCTTATCAGTAACACAAACAGTTCTGATCATGACTTCTGCCTGTGCCATCTAAGAGTTGCCTCTTTTCAGCCGATGACCTTTGCAGTAAAACAAGGCCTCATGTAGGTGTTCACTGTCCGTTGAGGCTTTAAGGTACATTTTCGCCTGTAACACATTTTATCTTTTATATACAGACGGCAATGCAAGTACGTGCGTATGCACACAATTGGCGTGTCTCGTGTAACTCCAAAATGACTCGCATGGCTTCATTTTGCATGCGTTCCACCTTTTCTATTTCGCTGTTAGATAAAGTGAGCAGGCCCAAACCATACTCAATCACTGAAATAAACAGTTGCTGGTAGATTGTGTAGAGCATTCTCTGTTCCATGTCTGCTGGTACCATCACCTTCAATACATTGTTTCTTTTCCTTATTTGTAACACTAGCTCTTCCAGTGGTAATTAAACGACAGGCTCCTGTCAAAAGTTATACCAAGATATTTCAGTGAATTCTCCCCCTTTATGTTACTACCATTTAGTGTGATCTTCCTAGTCGCCTCTCTTACAATTCTATTAGTTAATCAACACCACAATCATCATTATCAAGTGCTTTGCCGACTGGCATTGTTGATCATACCTCGCCACAATCTTCGATCCGCAGCTCCTTGTATCAGTTAGTATGTTGACATACCTCCATGCCATGACAAGAATTTTCTCGCGCTGTTTTCTTCTCACTTTCCACATATCTTTCCAGTAGCCACAACATGTTCCATATTCTCTCTTCTCATAACAAGATCAAAAAAACCATGACTGTCTTCAATCACCTCTTTCAAAACATCTGGGTTGCTCTTCTTGGCTGTCTATGGAATTCTAGGGTTTCTTCTGTAAAACCACATCTCCGAGGCCTCGGGATATTGTTCGGCTTGTTTATTAATTGTCCAGGCTTTACTGGCTCTAATTTTTTTTTTCCTAACCTACAGTGACATGGATTTACTGCATGTTCTTGATTGGATAAAATGCAGTCTTGGCTTGTCTGATTCTGTTCTTTATCTCTGTGATACATATTCCATAGAATGTTATTAATGAGCCCAGGTACTTACACTTCTGTACTTGTCCCAGAATAATGACTTTGACTTTTATTATACATTTAGGCACTATTCTTTTTTTTTTTTTTTTTTGGAAATCCCCATTACTTCTGTCTTCCCAAACTGAGGCCCATTTATTCTTTCTGCTACCAGCGTATCTGTCAATTCCTGTAGTTCTTTCTGACTTGTCGCTATCAAGATGGTGTCATCAGCAAAATGGAGGTTCTTTATGTTATGACCATAAACCACCTGGCATATCCATGACAGATCTCATTATATATTCTCTGTATAATGAAAAAACAGGCGATAGTACTCATCCTTGTCTTACTCCTCTCTTAATGCTCTGAAATGTTCCCAACTGGTTATTAATTCTTATAGCTGCTGTTTGTTGCCAATACATGTTCTTTATAATTGGTAAATCTTTTTTATCAATGTTTAACTTTTCCAATAGTTTATTTCTTTATGTTTCACACAATCAACTGCTTTTAGTTAATGAAACAATTAAGATCTTTTTTTTTTCTACTTTAATAGCTCTTTCTAAGGATGTATATAGCATTGTATGTATCTTTCCCTTCTACAAATCCACACTGTTCTTCACTAATTTATGGTTTAACCTTGTATCTTACTCTTGTCATAATTATTCTCAGTAACATTTTGTCACATAACTCAAAAGATTTAAGGTGCGATAATCTTCACATTTTAAAGTGCCTGGTTTTATCAGCTGGGCAATCAATATAGATTTTAATTGCTCATTAGGAATGTACCCACTATTATAAATGTCATTTAATAATTAATTTTTTTACTATTTCAGTTCCAAAATATCCCAAAGCTTCAATTTCTTTCAAAGTAATGTCTGGCCCAGGTGCCTTTTCTTTCTTCATGTGATGCAATGCATCCTCAACTTCTGAAGTCAACACTGGTGGGCCTTCGCTGTTGTCCTGAAAATATACATCTGGTCTATTATCATCATACAGATCCACAAGTACTCTGTCCATCATTTCATTATGTCATCATGCCCTTTTAATATTTCACATTTTTTAAAAATTGTCAACACCCAGTGATGTTACTTCTTTTCTTCTCTGTCAATGTAATTATCTGTTGGTTCATGGAAGGCATTTCCCCGCGATTTTTCCCAATCTCTATGCATATCTGATTCAGCCAGGTCTTTTTAGCCTCTTTGCAAGTGTTCACTATTTCTGTATGTATACTAGAATATTCTTCCTAATCATTCTTTTTATTTCTTCTCTGATCCATCATCTGTAGAATTTCCTCCACCAGTCTCCTACCTTGTCTACCACATTCTGCAGTTCTCTATGTATTTCTATTTTACACCCCCTCCCCCCCCCCCCCAGAATTCTCAATCCCCACCGCCTCTATTCTGCTTGTGTACACACTGAAAAGCCCATAGTAAGCTTAGGAGATCCATTACAGAAAAGTGACTGATTGCCTGATACAATGATTCTGAGAAGCACAAAAGAAAAGTGGCCAGAGACGAATGTGATTCTCAAACAAAGAGATGACAACAGTGAAATTCAATGTTCTTGTAAGAAATAAAAAGCAAACTGTGTTGTTGGTGAAATTAACACTTTATCTACAAATGAAAACAATTATTGGAAGTATCCACAACATAAGATTTCTTTCTTTAAATTACAGTCAAATAAATTAATTTCAATGACTGGACATCATTTTGTAGAAAGTATATTAAAGTGTCAAGTGTACCGATCCTTTTCAGTGAGCTACAAGTGTGGTTTCTTCATAAGTTTGAATGCATTTGTAAAATGAAATCATAATTCTCATGTAGAAAGTTCTTTGCTGAACATCCCTCTCACAATCTACCACAATCTACCATATTCTAAGAATTTCTTTTGACATAAAAGTTCAGAAGCTTTGACAGTCTTAGGGATTAAAATAGGTCATGATTCACAACCACATACTGTAACAATAACATAGTTTATCAAACAATATTGCAATCTAAAAGAAGTATTTTATAAATATTTCAAACGATATTTTATTATGTGGATACTGTGTAAACGTCATCACAAACAAATAAAGTATTTTAAAAGAGGACTAAATTATCCACTCTGTTTTCTTTCACAGGCACTATTTTATTTAGTTTTAGCTAGCCTACTTCGTGCACTGAATTTGAAATGTCATCTCTATCTTGTTAATGGACATGAAATAGGCATCTCAAAATCCATCAGCACAGTCTGAAATAAAACAGCCACAAATCATATTTACTTTCACACAACTCTTTGTTAGCTAAAATTCAAAAAGTGATGACAGATAAAAGGCAGTAGCGAGAAACAAGATTAAGATGTGTTATCAAATTTCCTAAAAGCATTCAGTTATTTGTTTGTACTTCAACTCTTTAACAGAAATGGTTTGGTCATCTAGTAAGAATGCAGCCAGAACAAATACCAATGCAAAAATCTGAAGTGAAAGCAAATGGCCGCCCTAGGGGAAGATGGACTGATGACGTTAAAGAGCTTCTACATCGATTTGGAATGACAATGGCCATTGACGAACATCAAGCAATGGATCTCACAAACTGTACCTCCCCACAATGCTTCATGGCAGAAGTTGAAATTGATGATGATGACGATGACTCTTACATTCTTACTGTAATTTTAGTACATTAAGGTACATTTTAAAGTGCATTTTAGTTTAAAAACAATGCATTTTATTCTAAGCATTTTAAACTGCAGATGTTGGTTTTACAAATGATATAGTACCAGTGATGCTGATTAGGGTACAAATGTGAACTATTTTTGTTTTGCAAAGCTTGCTCTGCAAATGTTTCATCTATCTAATTCTAACATGCAATACTAACTGGCTTCGTTACCTTATAACATAAATTTTACACAATACATCACTGGTTTTCTCACAATAGTAAATTGCAAAAGACAATGAACCTAACGTAGTGATGCATGATAACAAATTAAACCAAAAGTTTCAATTAAAATGCATCAGCTCTCTGGTACTACATTAAAATGATATTTGATGACATCAGAATTTCCATCTAACTTTTCTGCCAATTTGTTCACATTTTCAATAAACTCTTGTGTTACAGTTACTGTAACTGTTGGTATACAGGTTCTCTCACTTCTTGTAACATTAAAGCCTGCATCGTTGAGGTTTCTGCTAACTTTGGAAATGTCAAAAGGTCCACAAAGAAACTGAAAATAAACAGATAAAACGTGTTATGAAACATCACAATAACTGGCAGCATTCTCATTATTACAAAAAATGCATATTTCTCATCAGCCCATCCCCAATGTATGGGTGATAAAGTCTACAGAAAACTCATTTGGAACAAAAGTAAAACCCACTGGCCAACTTCCTACTATATCCTACACCATCACATCTGTCAAGTGACAGAACCACTGATCTGCTAAGACGCAGCCCTAGACCAAGAGATCTGTTCGCAGCTTAGACGAGCAACATCTCTTAAGGGTCTTAACTCCCTGTACAGTCCCATCTCTGTGCATCGTTTGTCGACCCTCAGTGCCATTGCAACCATACTGAGGTACACCATGACAATATACAACTGTCAGTCAGCTGATTAAGCTTAAATGTCTATATAAGTCACATGTCATATGGTATAATAGCGAAGTCTTAAATGTCCTACCAACAAAAGTACTACTATCAGAAAGGTTCAGATGTCTGTTATCACTGGCCCCATTCGTCACAGTCTTGGAATCAAACCAGGGAAGCCATGCCCAATGCCTGCTTTTTTTCATATTGTCTGTCTAAGTTTCCAGATGAAACAACATTAAAAGTGACTAATGTGTCTGGTCATTAAAGTTCCAGACCTGTGAACTTTTCCCTAATGTTCTCAGAGAGTGAAGCTTGTGATGAGTGGAAATGGAAGCTCAACATACAGATGTGAGGTTAAGCAGTCATGTGCAGGATGTGATACCTTGGGTGAGCCCAGAATCAGAGAATTATATGTCACCTCTACATTATGGAAGCCTCTTTGGATGGTGGGAAATGCCCATGATCTGCCTGTGCCTTCCTTTCAGGGCCGACCAGTTTTAGCAAGGTTGCCCTAGATGGATTCTTCAGGGGTAACAATTGTAGATAAAGGGACAGAGAGGAAACCACATAAATAAAGCCACATTGTGTCCCACGAAACCAAATGGGAAGGTTAATCCAGTAATCATATGCCTGAAAAGGTCGAGTGTGTCATCCGAAAGACACAAACATTGCAGCTCTGCTGTTAACAGGCGTAACGCAATTACGTCATTTAGATGAAGGAAAAGAAGATTATATTTCGATTAAAACCTGAAACAGGAACCAGGTAACAACCTAGAGCGGATGGCGATACTGACAACAACATATAATAAAATCTCAAATAAAGCTGGAAGCTAAGGGGGCTAAAAGGAAACATCTCTGCATTGTATGATCTTCTGGATCAATATGACAGACTACTAGCATACACATACAGCTGACGCTATGAAAAGTTATTTATTTCCAGCCAGTATCTGCATATGCGAATTCCCCATTTCTGGAAAGGTGGTTTAAAGTGTTTGTCACCCAGCTACTTAGCTGAGTGCTTGTTGTGATACTGTGAGCCACAAAATGTATGCCAGATGTTTTTTCCTATTGTGCCTATGATGGCTTTATGTTGTGGCCGGCACTAAAATTGGCAGGTCGCAGATTATGTTCAGAATGACATGTACATACTTCAGTATTGTGTATACTCTGCAGACTTTCGTAATTGACTGCTAGCATCAACAGTGAGCTGCAATTCTGGTGTGGGTCTGTTAGTGCTGGTATATTTTAAAGCTGCCTTATGAATTTATCTTGTGTCTGTGAGCTTCAAGATTTTGCTGAGCCTGACATGATTTTCACTAGTTTTCAAATGGGAGAATAAAGGACATTTTGTGGGATTTTCACATGCACAGGAACGGGGCAGTTATAGGGCAACCCATCCTCAGTGGCAGTTATAGGGCAACCCATCCTCAGTTGCAGTTATAGGGCAACCCATCCTCAGTGGCAGTTATAGGGCAACCCATCCTCAGTTCCAGTTATAGGGCAACACATCCTCAGTGGCAGTTATAGGGCAACCCATCCTCAGTGGCAGTTATAGGGCAACCCATCCTTAGTGAAGTTGGAACCTCTATTAGGGACTAACAGATAAAGCTTTTCAAACCAAGAGCAGGAAATCATGGGTGAATGATGAAATAATGAGTTCTGCAGGCAACCGTCAGTCCCTGGAGACCATAAAGTTATGCTGTTGGTTTTAGGAACAGCGTCTGTTATGAGTGTAAAGTCCAATGAGGGAGTGCCAGTCTCTGCTAGACTCCAAATAAAAACGTTGGTACTCTATCATTCTGAGACTGGTTTTTCCTCAGATGTCTCCTCTCCATAGCTTGTTGCAAACTGCGACAGTCCATCTTTCATTACCTGCCTCCAAAGGAGTCAGTCTGCAGTTGATCCCTCCCAAGAGTTTGTCTCAGTGTTGATATCTTTCAGGTCACGTTTGCATAGGTCCTTGTAGCGTAGCTTTGGCCTTCCTGCAGGTCTTATCCCTATCACCAGTTCACAATACAAGAGATCATGTCCCAACCAAAGCAGGCATATTCGCTTTATCTGAAAGTATACTGTTGGCATTCCTGATCTTTTATGTACACATTTATTGGAGACAAAGTCACACCATGATATACCAAGAATGTGTCTCATACATTGCATGTGGAAAGTATTCAATCTTTTTTTTTCTTGAGGAGCATACAGTTGAGAGAGTTGAGTCAAGAACTGACATCAGAGCACTCGGGGCATTCCCATATGCACTCGGTCCCCATCTTCAGCAGCCAGCGCAGAGTTCAAATATTAATAGTGCTGGCTATAGTCTGGCTGTATGTCATTCTTACCTTTCCTCTGAGCAAAGTGTGCCAGCCAAACCCTCTGGTCACACCCAGGTGCATCATTCTCCCCAGCCCATAATAATCTAGTTTCTCTTCTGACTTCGCTACTTGTTCCCAAAGGGCTCTGACCACATCTGCCTCGTCATACATCAATTCACTATCCATTGGTGCAGATGCAGCCAATCTGTCTGCCTGTTCACTTCCCATCACGCCGGCATTGCCTGGAGAAAAGATCCAAAGTATGCTTACTACCCGTGACCTCGCAAGTGACGCTTGCCACTCTGCTCGAAGCAATCCTGTCTTCATCCTTTTCAGCATGCTTTCAGAGTCCGTTATGACATATGTATGTATCTTGTTCTCTAGCCGTCGGCAAGCTGCAGTGACTGCCTCCACGCCCAGTTTCATGCTAGATGTTGTGGGATCATACGCCAGGCTATCCTGCACTAAAGATTTCCCATTGGCTTTCCATATGAAACCCCAGGCACTTCTCTTCCCTTAGTTAGTTAGTTGGGTTATCATCATTGCACTCTGGATATGTCCATAGGTGCTCAGATCCTTCCCTTAGTATCAACCCCAACGTCCGATGGCTAATAGTACCAGTTCTATGTTGATTAACAAGTCTTCTGGCGTGTCTGGTGTGCGTCTCGTTTTTTGCTATGCCGATCTTAATTCCCAAGTCTGCCATTTCGGTGAGTGATGTGGATTCACTGCTACCAAAGTCCTCTATCCTTCCCATTTCTCTGATGGCAATAATAATAATAGCATGATCATCGGATGACCGTCGGTAGTGATAGCAGATCCAGCCAACCTGTCAGCTCTTTCATTTCCATCGACGCCTGCATGGCCTGGAACAAAAATGAAGGTGACTCCGCGCACAGTAGACTTCTGTAATGATTCAAGCTATTGTCTTCACACCGAACCTGCCTGAACCCTCCGGATCATACTCATCGAATCACTGAGTATACATACGCGGGTGTATTTTTGTGTTTCAAGCCAGGCAAACACTTGCGTCACCTCCATCGTCATGCTGCTGTTTGTTTCTCTTCCCTTAAAAACATGTAATCCAGTGTGGTTGGGTTTTTATGACAAGGGTTTTTAGATCTCCCTGTATCTCTTTTATACTGAGTTTCTCTCTCTCCCCCTCTCTGTTTGACATATTCAGCATCAGTATGTTCCTCACCTCATGTTATACTGAATTTTTTAGTTTTTCCCAAAAGCTCCACATTAGTGAATCTGTCATAAAATTTTTTTTTATTTTTTGAGTTCTGCTTAGGCACCATTTAATGAACATTCGCAGTAGATTTTGATCAGCGATTGTTCTACCACATAAGGATTACGTGTTGCCTCCAGTAGAGCGCAGCAACAAGCAGAAAAATGTAGAAGGCTGACAGATCACCCCATGATTTAAAGGTTTATTTGTCTAGTAAGGGAAAGACTAAAGCAAAGACACCCCCCCCCCCCCCCCCCCCAACAAAAAAAAAACTCTGAGACAGCAGCAGCATCCGCCTGAATTGATAGAAAATGTTTCTTGTTTTAACTAATAACACTCAGAATGAAATAGAAATAAGGAAAATCACATTTAACTACACAGAAGAAAAATACTCAAATAACACCTAGACTCATGCACATACAGATGGATCAGCAAAAACACAAACTCCACAGAAAATGGAGGTGGTGGAAGAAAACACGGTTGCAAATGAAAAACTTTCAAGTAAATTTAGAGTGGAGTCAGAGTCCTTAAGAACTATAGTAGAAATGCTTCTGTCAGAGAAAAATAAAGAGAAACACATAGCTATCAGCCGCCATGGTCTAGCGGCTAGACACTCGCTTGGCCTTGCGGATTGGTCAGTCGTGAGTTCAGTTCCTTACGGGAGCCAGACTTTTTTTTCTTTCAAAAATGACCTTGGCCCCTAGGTCGACCCAGCCTTGAGTGGATACCAGGTGCAGTCCTGGGAAGTAAAGGCGGCTGGCATGGTGCTGACCACTTCACCCACCAAGTGCCGTTTGCAGGGCTCATAGCCAATTTTATCAATCAATTTTAAAGTCCTTTTCAAGGTCTCCTTAATTTCTTTCAAGGCTGAAATAAGGCATTTTGGCCTTTTTTTTAAGGGTGTACCCACCACACAAGGTACTTCATTCGTGCGCACACGTGTGGGTATACCAGTACAGGTAGCATAAAGATGAACAGATGAAGGTAGAGGAAAGAAGGAAAAGAGAGACAGGGGAAGGAGGAAAAAAGATGGTAAAGAGAGGGAGGGATGAAGACACGGTGAGGGAGAGTGGGGAAGGGACAGCGAAAGAAAGAGAGGGAGACAAATACAGAAAGGGGAATGCAGATAGAGAGAGGGAGACAAATACAGAAAGGGGGAATGCAGATAAAGAGATGGGCAGATAAAGAGAGAAGGAAGAAGGGAAATAAACATTGATATGGAAGGAGGAAAAATACAACAAAGAGAGTTGGTGGGATGGAGACTGAGGGAGAGAGAAGGGACAAGGAAAGAGGGAGATGCAAGCAGATGCAAATATAATACATTAAAATACAAAACGTACATCAAAAGAAAACATCAATCAGGTTCATGCTGAACAACACCCCCCCCTCCCCCCAACCATAACACAGCTTCCTGTGCACTGGACAGTAACTAGGAAAAGAGTCATGGAGCAGCACATTTAGTAAACATTTAAACTAGAAATAAAACTGGAGGGGGAGGGGGGGGGGTGTGAAGATAAAGATCAGAGGGAGAGAGACAATGCAGGAGATCGGAAGGAGGAGGCAAGAGGTAGAAGAGTGAAAGAAGGAAGGGGGGGGGGGGGGAAGAGAGAGAGAGAAAGAGAGGGGTGAGAGAACAGAAGAGGGAAGCTATGTGGGGGAATTACAATCCGGATCACCAAACACACTGTAAAGATAAACCAGGCCAAAAAAAGAACTGGGATATCCAGTTAATGTCACTTTGCCTCCCCCCCCCCCCCCCCATGCAATCACTGTTTCTAGAAACTAAGGTGTCCTTCCTGTAGCTATTTATACTAATATTACTGCCTATGGACCAGCCAGAAACAAAGGCACATAGCACAGAAAAACGACAGAGTGCTCCTTTCCGCCCCCATACCATACTGCTGCTATCTGTATGTATCCATTGGCTGCAACACAGCCCGCCCTTCCCTAGCCCTTAACAAGCCATTTCAGCTGAAAATGGTCAATAATCAACTGCCCTTATACCTGAAAAGACGGTAAACATTTCAAACAAAGGTAGCCAAAAACTAGCCACATGTCAAAAACTGCTGAAAATTGCAGATCTTAGAACAATCCCACTGCGGTGGTCAAAATTCCAGGTTTTTTTAATGTCAGTTTGATTTTCTTAGGTGAAAAGCAAGGTGTAAGGCCAGTGCCACAATTTCAAGGGTAACTTAAAGTTGCCAGGTAGGCTATGAACCCTACATTTACCCAATATGCTTGAAAAGCATGGAAAAGGGTCCTTTACATAGCTATTTTTGCAGAGGGAAAGTCAGTTGTCACAGTACTGAAGAGCAAATACAATACAGAACTAGCAGACTTTAGAGCTGCACTCCATGGACTGAATCAGACATCAAAAAGAGTTGTAGTACAATGAATTCCATCCTATTGCAACACATCTGGAAATGAAGAGGCTGATAGATTGGCAAAGGAAGATGGAAGACAACCCTAGCCTGACAGAGACATAATTTATGATGAGGACAAGAGGCTTATCAGAAGTATTCATAGTAGCAAATGGGATTCTGAACATACAGGCCACAAGTAGGATGATGCAAACTACCAAGCTGACCGAAGAGAACAAGTAGTGCTCTTTAGACTCCACACACAGGACATATTAAGCTGAAACACCACTTGTTCAGCAAGCTAAAGAAAGGAGATACCGATTACTGTAACTGTAGGAATGGTAAAATGATGGCTAAACATGATTTGATTTGATTCAAGAACTGACATCACAGCACTCGGGGCATTCCCATAAGCGCTCCATCCCCATCTTCAGCAGCCAGCGAAGAGTTCTGATATTAATGGTGCCAGCAGCTTTCTGATTAAACGTCTGTCTTGCCTTTTCTCTGAGCCTTGAGCTTCTGCCAGAACCTCTTGTCACCCCCAACTGCATCAATCTCACCAGACTGTGGTGATCCACCTGCTCCTCCGCATTGTACACGCTCTCCCACAAGGCACTAACCACATCTGCCCTATCATGTAGCAGTATTCCACCAAGTTGTGCAGAGCCAGCCAGTCTGTCCGACTGTTCATTTCCCAACACACTGGCGTGACCCGGTGAAAAAATCCAGACAATACTCCTCACTCTTGTCCTCCGCAGTGAAGCATGCCACTCTGCACGAAGCATACCTGTTCTGATCTTCCTCAGCATGCTTTCTGAATCAGTTACAATTACAATGTGTGTGTGTGTGTGTCGTGTTCTCTAGCCAGCGGAAAGCTACAGTGACCGCCTCCACCTCCATTCTTAAGCTGGATGTTGTGGTATCATATGCTAGGCTCTCCTGCACCAAACGTCGACTATTAACTTTTGCTAAAAAAGCCCCAAGCACTTCTTTTGCCTCTTGACACTGAACCGTCTGTGTAAATGAAAACATTTGATGCAAGAGTGTCCAATATATCCAGAAAAGAGAAAATTATTCTGGTTGACACACGCTCCTTTTGAGGACAAACTCTGTAGAAATTTCAACAACCTCAAGTTGACTGCTGATTTCTTTTATATATTCACACTGCCATCTGAATGTATAAGAAACAGAAAACTGTCATGGAGTTGATAGTCCAAAGAAGAAAATGAAACAGACTCATCTGTCTGTATACTGCCACACTGTGCTCCTGTGCATCTATGTGGTAAGTGTCATGAAACTATAGTAAATATGGAATTCAATGGCAGTATAAGTCTAATATGCAAAAGAAGAGTGCTAATTTTGTGAAGGTAATAAAAATCCAGGTCTGTAAACTGCCTACTGCAGGTTTATAAACGACAGAGCCTATGATGAATGATTGTCCAATATATAGAAGTGAGATTAAACAGTCATGAGCCTGACGATATTGGCTCTGTATTTATGGAAGCCTCCTTGGATGGTGGGGAATGCTTGTGTTCTGCCCAGTCCTTCTCTTGAGTGCTGACCAGCTTTATGTGGCTTATCTGGACTGGCCTGATATGGTTTTGGAGTTACTATGATACAGTGGAATGCAGAAAAAAAGCTGGAAAGAAAACAGATTAAAAAAAAACCAGAACCACATTAAATAAAATAAACCACTGAACACTGTATAAAAAGTATATTATTTTGGTTTGGTGAGAATATGCACCAAAAGATATATTGCTTAAAATTGTGGAATAAAGATAAAGAGACATTAAAGGAAAAATAATTTTACACATGAGCTGAAGACAACTGTTGATCAGATTATTTTACCAACTATTTTCAGACTAACAGCTGACCTTATTAATGTAACTTCAACTATAGTAAAACATATTACTGACATTTAAGTACTGTGCCTACCTGTATATATGGCTTTTCACCATCATGTTCAAGCTTAACATCTTCTGCTCCGACGACTATCGCCACTTCAACATATTTGTCTAAAGGAAAATTGTCGGGATCAGCATTCGCAGCAACCAATTCTTCCTCTGAAAGGTCCACCTCAACCACACCTTTGTGCTCAAAAAGATCATCTGCTGGTGTGTGCAGACTAAATCTGAAATTAAAAGATAAAAAACAATTGATTAGTACAGGCACAACTCAACAAAGTGGTCCAATGCTGTGATTTCCTATAAAAGTTGAATACATATGCAACTTTACAAATTTTTTTGAGCACTTATTTCCCCTTGAAGTTTCAGTAACGTTGTAGATTTTTTACAGGGCAGAGCTGTCAACACTGCGCCCAAATAACATATACAAGAGAAAAGTAACAGACTACACTGCACAGCAGAAATGGTGGGACTGAGAATAAATACAAAGAAAACTAAGATCATGACAAACAGTCCAAACCAACAACCAGTGACCATAAGTAACCAATCACTTGAAAATGTAGAACATTTAACATATCTTGGCAGTGTGGTGTCCCTACTGGGAGGGACAGAGGAAGACATAAAGGCACGCCTGAACAAAGCTAGAGCTGCTTTTGGAAGGATGAGGCAAATCTGGAAATCCAACAATTACTGCAGAGGAACGAAACTCCGACTCTACAAGAGCATTATTTTGCCAGTTCTTCTTTATGGAGCCGAATGCTGGAGAATGACCAAAAAGGATGCACACAAGCTGTCCACCTTCCACCACACATGTCTACGTAGAATTATCAAAATTTTCTGGCTAGATACAATCTCAAACACTAAACTACTTCAAGCCACAAACCAAGAAACTTTAGACAGTATGATTACCAAGAGAAGATGGAAATGGCTGGGCCATATTATGAGAATGACTTCTGATATACCTGCCAAAACAGCTCTCACATGGACACCAGAGGGAAAGAGAAAACAGGGGCACCCAAAAACAACATGGAGACGAACGATGGAAAGTGACCTGAGTGCGGCATCTTTGATATGGAAAACTGCATTGAAGATTGCACAGGACAGGAAAGCATGGAAAGTCCTCTCTGAAGTCTCATGTGCCACTAGGCATAACGAGAACTGATGACTGATGATGAACTTTACAAAATGGTGCAATGCTGTGATGATCCCTATAAAGGTAAGCACACACACAAATCAACAAAGTGGTCCAATGCTGTGATGATCCCTATAAAGTTTTAATACAGGGTAGGCCACATTGATGACATGTATATTTATATTACTGTGAGCGATAACTGTCCTGCACATTTTAGATATAGCTTAATAGGAAGTGTAAAAATAGGAGTTACTGTTACATGTTTGTTTCACTGCCCACTACCATCAAAGAACTAAAAAGCAATATCTGAAGGGAGATCATCATCTCAGTTGAAACCCTATGCAAGACTATGCTGAACACGATTGTTACAGCAAAAGAATGTTCTCTCAATGTGGTGTCCATCTCTAGGATGTAATCTTCAAACACTGAACATAGTGAAAACTTCCATCCTTTGGCAGTTTTTTTCTATATATTTGGTAATAAATGTTGCTTCCACATGCTCCACATATATGTGCATTTCAAAAGTGTCCCATCAATATGGCCTACACTATACATATACAACTTTACTAAGTCGTCCAATGCTGTGATGATCACTATAAAAGTTAAGCAAAGTCACAAGTTTACAAAGTGGTAGAATGCTGTGATAGTTCTTCTTTAAAAGTTTAGTGCTCTTGATAGGTACCATGTATGTTATTATCATCAAGTGCCATGCCTCTTCACAATTTACAGTCTTCAACAGCATATATCAGTTTGTCTGCTGACACCCCTCCATGCCATGACAAAAGACTGTCAAGAATCATCTTGCATCCTCTTTCTCTGCCTGTTTTCTCCGTTGGTCAAAAATAAATTTCAATTTCCTCTTCTGATAATATGACCAAAAAATTATCACTGTCTCTTTCTGGTGTCTATGATAAGTTGTCTTAGAGCCCTCACCTCTTTCAAAACACCTGGGTTGCTCTTTAATATTAAAAGTAATAATAACCTTTTTAAAACTGTTGTGTACAAATACAACTTGTGAAAGTGACACCATGCTATAGTGATCCCTATAATCCTGACAGAGCCAGTAAATATTCTTTCGCAAAATGACATGGACCTTGTTGTGTGAAGAGGGCACACCAGGAAGGAAATGAGAATGAAGGAAGAAATGACTGCAGAAAGGATAAAAGCTGAGCACTGAGCAGAAACAGACTAGACACAAATATTGACAACGTTGGTTCTAAAATTCCATGCTATAACTGTGAAAGACTTTTCTTAACGCGGGCTATTCACACTCGCCATCACCTGTGAGTCCCATGCCTCCTCCATGCACAATATAACACTATCATCTGGAAAGACGGAAAGGTGCCAATCAATCACATACACATATATATTATTGAAGAGCCTGATTTTGAAGAGATACTGCATGTCATAACACGGCTTGAAAAAAACAAGGTAACTGGTGCTGATAAAATTGCTGCTGAACTTACAGAAGGTGGTCATGCATAACATTTAAAGAATATTAATTAATAAAACTAGTTTGGATGATGGAAAATTAATCCATAAGTCAAAAGAGTCAAGTATAAATGTGAAAATTATACAGAAATATTGATATTGGCTTCAAGCTATAAGATACTATCAGCAGAACTGCTAAACAAAATTAAAACCATATCGCAATGCAATCACTGTTTCTAGAAACTAAGGTGTCCTTCCTGTAGCTATTTAAACTATTATTACTGCCTATGGACCAGCCAGAAACAAAGGCACATAGCACAAAAAACGACAGAGTGCTCATCTCCGCCCCATTCCATACTGCTGCTATCTGTATGTATCCATTGGCTGCAACACAGCCCGCCCTTCCCTAGCTCTTAACAAGCCATTTCAGCTGAAAATGGTCAATAATCAACTGCCCTTATACCTGAAAAGACGGTAAAACATTTCAAACAAAGGTAGCCAAAAACTAGCCACATGTCAAAAACTGCTGAAAATCGCAGATCTTAGAACAATCCCACTGCGGTGGTCAAAATTCCAGGTTTTTTTAATGTCAGTTTGATTTTCTTAGGTGAAAAGCAAGGTGTAAGGCCAGCGCCACAATTTCAAGGGTAACTCAAAGTTGCCAGGTAGGCTATGAACCCTACATTTACCCAATATGCTTGAAAAGCATGGAAAAGGGTCCTTTACATAGCTATTTTTGCAGAGGGAAAGTCAGTTGTCACAGTACTGAAGAGCAAATACAATACAGAACTAGCAGACTTTAGAGCTGCACTCCATGGACTGAATCAGACATCAAAAAGAGTTGTAGTACAATGAATTCCATCCTATTGCAACACATCTGGAAATGAAGAGGCTGATAGATTGGCAAAGGAAGATGGAAGACAACCCTAGCCTGACAGAGACATAATTTATGATGAGGACAAGAGGCTTATCAGAAGTATTCATAGTACCAAATGGGATTCTGAACATACAGGCCACAAGTAGGATGATGCAAACTACCAAGCTGACCGAAGAGAACAAGTAGTGCTCTTTAGACTCCACACACAGGACATATTAAGCTGAAACACCACTTGTTCAGCAAGCTAAAGAAAGGAGATACCGATTACTGTAACTGTAGGAATGGTAAAATGATGGCTAAACATGATTTGATTTGATTCAAGAACCGCCATCACAGTACTCGGGGCATTCCCATAAGCGCTCCATCCCCATCTTCAGCAGCCAGCGAAGAGTTCCGATACTAATGGTGCCTGTAGCTTTCTGATTAAACGTCTGTCTTGCCTTTCCTCTGAGCCTTGAGCTTCTGCAAGAACCTCTCGTCACCCCTAACTTAGCAGTGATGTAGACACGTTGCTTCCAAAATCTTGCTCATCAAATCATTCAGCACACACACACAGTAATAGTCCTGTGACTGTAGCCACAGGAAAGCTTGTGTTAAAAAAGTTATTAGATTTGCCATGGTAGCTAAAGGTATACTTCTATGTATCAAATGTGGTATTAGTTGTCCCAGTACCCGCTAGCTTTAAGCACAACACTGTGTTGACTTCTCTACCTATATTTCATTCTGAAGTGAATACTGATCCTCTATATTTAAATTTACAATATCTAACATTACAGAACACATTTCTTAATATATAAAAAAAATCTCTTACAGAACATTCACATTAAAGTCTGCAGAAAACAGTGAACCTGTTGTCAGCTTTCCTGCAAGAAACCCATCCAATGCAGCCACATGTGGACAGGTCGACTCTCAAGGGAAGGCAGAGGAAGAACATCGGCATTTCCTGCCATCCAAGGAGCCTTCCATTAAATGCAGAGCCGAAACAGGATGCTCTCGTACTGGGCTCACCCAAAGAATTATCACATCCTAAACATGACTGCTTAAGCTCATATCTGTATATTCAGCTTTCAACTCATTATGGAATGCACATTTTAAGGATCCACAGACTTTGATTCCCTGAAACAAAGTTGGCATCCCGCTTCCTCAATATGTTGGATTTCTCTGTTTACCAATAGAGCTTTTCCCATTTGACCCTCAAGACACTTTGTGTGGCATTTATAAGAAGCACGGATCGAGCAAATCTTTCCTGAATGGTCATTACTCTTCAATGAGTGTGCCCTGGTAGTAGACGTTTGAACATTCTGTGTCACATAGTAGGATCATTAAGTGAAAGACATCTGACCCACTGCTGTCACAAAGTATTTCCACTCGGTGGAAGGACATTTAAACCATTCAGTAGGACTCTCGTTTGACAGACATTTGAACCATGGTTTGTCATTTAATAGACACTCAGCTAGCAAACTGAACTTTTGTTTCAAACGATTTAGCGATGGACATTGTCATCCAGGGATTGGGGGCTGATGAGTGCCAAATAATTTGTGGACGCAGCAATCTCTAGGGGTCACCAATTCCAAGAACCCCTGCCAGCTTGGTTTAGGCCAATACAGGCTATTATCTGTGGCAAGGATATGTGGCAGGAGGTTCTGTAAAATCAGCACAGAGCCAGCTGAAGCCTGAGGTGAGTTACGGAGTATCTCCTTAGGCAAATCACAACAGCCTCAACATTCTCTCATGCCTGTGACTAAAATCATTGTGCCACATTGTCCTTACTATTTTAAAGATGGCTTCAGTTTTCATGAAATGATGCTATTTATGAGCCAGTTTTCTTCAAATTTAAGATCTTGCACAATGTCTGCAATTTTAGTTTTCCCAATGCATTACTCTGTAACACTTTTGCATATTTTTACTTTTTTCTTTAGAAGAAATTTAAGGCACAAGACTTATCCTTTCTGAAATGAATTTTACAATGTCTGATCTATTTTTATACTGTTCAACAACAAAAAATGAATAGTTATCCAATGGCACGTTTTCATTAGTTTGTAAATAAATATCGTACTCGGGTATGTGAAAAGCAGACTCAACTGTTGTTTACTGTGTCCAGTGGACATGTGGGCGTGAATTGCGTGGGTTTTTGTAATCGTTACAACGCAGTGGTCAATTGTGTTTAAGACTATATTTGTGAGCACAGCTCACGATGAGCGCACGAGAAAGCAACACAATATGCAGTGAGCACTAGTCACTGCCTACGCAATTGAAACCCTATAAAAGGATAACAAGGATAACGCTACACCAAAACGATCAGTACATTCAAGCAGTCACGAATGGCGCCCCTATCGATAAATGGAAGGAATGTTGCTATTGGCTGATTGCAGGCAGGAGAAAGTCAAAGTCAGGAAGCCAGGCATATAAACTTGCATCAGATTTCCATCAGTTGACTCTGGCACCGGTTCCAAGCCAATGGTTTATTTGAAGACCGGCATCGCAGTGGACAACCCAGAGTGACAACAGCAGTGGAGAATCGCTTTATTCGGCTTCATCACCTCATAGACAGGTTTACAACAGCTTCCTCAACTGCACAGGCATTGCCTCCAGGATGTCATGTGTCTGATCAAACTGTTTGGAATAGACTGCATAATGGAAACTGGACTCGACGACCACACTGAGGGCGTGTCGCCACTGTCAAAATCTACTTTTCTGGGCCAACAAACATCGTCTCTGGGCAAGTGACAATCAGTGAAGACGTGTCTGGTTCAGTGATGAATCTTTCTTTTTGCTGAAGCGTCATGATAGACGGCGTAGGGTTTACTGTAGACGAAATGAAGGTTTAACCCAAAATTTTGTTGATGAAGCTCTGCTGCACTGTGGTGGAGGTGTAATGGTATGGGGAATGAACAGTTACAACAGAATAAATCAATTGGGATGCCAACAGATATCTTTTTCAACAGGACAACACCAGACCCCATTCTGCACAGCTGATCAAGCAGTTCCTGACCATCCTTGTCTGCAGACATGAGGCCAACTCAGCACCTGTGGGATGAGCTGCAAAGACGTGTTTGTCGCCGAAATGTTGCTCCAGCCAATGGTCGTAATCTGTTCCAGGCACTCCAGAAAGAGTGGGCAGTCATTCCACAGGCTCACATCAGACATCTGATTGCATCCATGACCAGGAGATGCAAGTCACTGATCCGCACAAGATGAGGCCAAACACTATACTAACGGGAAAGGCCTATGCTTAAAAACTATTATGACCCAGATGCAAAAAAACACTTACTGCATTACAAAGATGCAGAATGTCAAAACTGTGAGTATGTTTGTTCCTTTCATTAACCATGCATTTCTTTGGGTTTTTTTAAACAGTATATTGTTGGTACTGTAATTTGTGACTGATAGACTTTATAACTGTATAGACAAAAAAGTGCCCCCCACCCCTCCCCCTAATACAAGTGAATGAGGTTTCTTTCCTTCCACTTCCATGACAAAATACACCTGAAAATTTACCTCCAGCTAAATTTCTGTGTCAAATTTATGATGTACTGCACTACTAGTACTAAATTTACACATTAACATATTTAAATTCCTTCTTTCTTCGAAGTTGTAGTGCATCTGCACAAGCGGCAAGGAACAACCAACTGCACACAAATAAGCCAGTAAAATGGCTGTACATGCAAAACCCAGGCCCTGGCCCAAAGCAAAAGTCCAATGAACAAACAACTAGGACTTTCCAATAGAGGCATATAGCCGATGAACAAACAAGAAATTCCTGTCAATAATACAAAATATAAATGATTTTGTAAACAATAAAAATTCCAACAGCATCTTATGACAGATCAACTCGGTGTAATAGCTAATTATATTTTGGTACAACAGTAAAATACGCACCCATGTTTCTTCACATAACTCTGCAAAATTCCTTTGGTGTGCAGTGGCTTAGGAGAAAAGCACTCAATAATTATGCCTGTGTTAGATGGACCACGTCCAGCAAAAAATGTGATACTACTTGGATCTCGTCTCTTCATCTGTGAATAAAAATCAATGTTATAGTTTCCAGTTTAAAAGTGATTCTGAAATTCATAACATCTACTACAAATTAAAAACCAAACAATAAAAATTTTTCAGTGAATATATAGCTATTATTAGTGCACAATTAAATTTTCGGAAATTGTTATGGGCATACAAATGTAAAATATTAACCCACTGACTACCACGATCGCATGTTATGCATTGCAACTTTCTCAATAAATGTAGTTAAAACCATTAGTCCATTTTTCTCTCTACGGTCTTTAAGGGAAACAATCTGGTAGTGAATACAGTAAATTTTCCACCAATTTTTGTGGTGAGCTCTCTGGCACACGAACGAATGTTTTGATAATGGCAGCTGATCAGTAGGGCCAGCATGGTAGAAGAGTTTGGGAAATATTCCTGATGCTATGGGATATAGTTTTGACTGTTTTACATTTGAAAGTGAGGATGAAGATATTTCTGAAGTTTCATAACTGTAACTTTGATAATTCTTTATAAAGTGCCATCAAAAACATCAAAACTGGAAGACAATGTGGCGTAGCAGTTGGAGTAAGGTGTGTTATGTTACATTAGTCTGGTTTAACTGTTTCATGTATGTGCTTTAAGTGTGCATTGTTAGATGCATCTGTTAGTGTAGACTGTGTCCATTACAGTTCTGTCACTTACAGTTTAGCAAAAATCGTTTCACAATGCGATCCTCGATGTTTACCAGGATGCATGTGGCTTTTTTTTAGTTTGACAGTTCAGTCACACTTTATCAGATGTTCTTCATGCAAAATTGCAAACAGTCACTGAATATGCAGAACTGTATTTCACAGTTAAGCAGAGAGCTTTCATCCAAGTTTATTACAGAAAAAAATATTAAGTTCTTTTGGTGTCAGCAAACTTTTTGGCTGCCGTTTTCCCACCAACGTACAGCCACATGACGGTGAAAAACAAATGTTAAATAGTTGTGAACCTATGGCATTTTTAGTACTCTAAAATATGTGGTATCTGGGAAAGTGCAAAGGTTAATGGCCGTGATAGTTAGTAGGTTAAAAACTGCACCTAAACAGAGGTCTATTAAGTTAATGGAAAGGAATATGGGAAAAAAATTATAATTTAGGACTAATGCAAAAAGTGGTTGGCAACTGCAATATTGCTTTACTGTGTAGGGTGTGCGCATATGTGTTTGTGTAAATGAATGTGGGTGTGTGTGTGAGGGAGGGAGGGGGAGAGAGAGAGAGAGAGAGAGAGAGAAAGAGAGAGAGAGAGAGAGAGAGAGAGAGAGAGAGAGAGAGAGAGAGAGAGAGAGAGAGAGAGAGAGAGAGAGAGATTGACAACAGACCTTTTTTTCAAGCTGAACATGCAAGTTGAAAGAATTGTGACTGTTTAATGAACACTTTACACAACTAGCTTCAAACTGAAGAATTAAAGGACAAACTACTCATTTCAAAATTTAACTCATGAGAAGCAGTAAAAATGACACTTCGTTTTGGTCCAGTTCTCCGTATATGACACTTTTCTGTTTACAAGGCACATAGTTAATGTTACTGGTTGTCTTCTGTGCCTGCATAAATGTTTAAGAAGTCAGGATATGAATTCAGTAACTAAAAATAGCATTTTAAGGTGATGCTAACGTCATGAAACTAAATTGTATACCATTTAATTTCTATCTTCTGGTATGGTATAGGGTTTTATGTTAAAGGCCACAGATCAATCAAATACTGAGTGACTGACTGTTCTTAATTGTTGCTATGGAAACTAAGATAAACAGCAGCCATATGGGCTTAAAGCCAAGGTGTCATCAAATTTTCATACGTTTCAGTGTTTGAGATCATAGTCATAGCAATTAGTCAGCTGATACAAATTCTTTTAGGGCAATGTATTTAATTTAATGCTTCACCCTGTTTGTGTTTATTTATTACCACTCTCTTCAACAACAACAACAGCAAAAATCCCTTTATATATATATATATATATATATATATATATATATATATATATATATATATATATATATATATATATATATATATATATATATATATATATATATATTTCAACAACAAAATTTAGTATAGATAAATACATTGTTTTAAAATTTGTTTGTAGCTTGTGTACAATTGTAGGGTTTTTAAAAGGATCTTTACTGAAATTCCAATATGGTTATGACCTAATTGTTTTAGTCTTTCTGGGGCAAGAGAGTTAATATTCCTTCGAAAAATTAAACACAGCTTGTAAACAAAAAACTCATAAACAGCATCATGTGCCTTAACTCTTTGAGTCCCAAGGAGCGCATCATATGTTCATAGTTTCCTACCTAGAGGCCCAATGAACGCATGATGCGCCGATTTAATGACTCTCTTGACTACCCCTTGGCCCTCTGATGATAAACCCCCTGGGACTCAAAGAGTTTAGGGGGCAACAACATAAACAAAATAGCAGTCATCAATAAATTAGTATGCAAACAACATGTATAACAAAAGCTGTAGAAAACACACATATAATGTAAGCAAAGTAAACTATATATTAGCTACAAATCACCACGAAACTATTTGCACACGATGCAGTGACAATGAACTAAGCAAAATTAATGTAGATATGACAGAAAACATGATTAGAGGATGGAGCAAATGAACTCAATCAAATGCACAGCCAGGCATTTCTGTAAAAGATATGGATGTAGGACAACAGAAATATCTCAAGCCCTGTGATGTCACTGATGTGCTCAGGCAAACTACAAGAAAAATAAAACAGCAAATGTACCTGTCTGTCTATTGTATTATTTATAACATCGTTGGTCAAGTTATTTGAACGTGCCCACTTAATCAGGTTAGCCAGCTCTGTATTTTGCTTTGGATCTGTGTCTGGATTCCTCTCTGTAGAATAGTGAATATAAAAGAGCCATGAAACAAACAACAAAAGTGTTCACCAACAAACAAATAAATTATTTTAAGGGGTGCTTGTAAAAGTATGTGTAAAAATAAATAATGATATTACAACAGTTACCACAGACACAAAAACATGCTAGAAATGATAAGACAGCCTTTATCACTAAAATTCAAATGCAGTTACAAGAAATGATGAACACAGCTGCAACAAAAAGCACAAATTATAGTCTTTGAAAAGAAAAAGAAAAAAAAATCATGGTAATTACTCAGAAAATAACTGCCCCCCAAATATGCAAGAACAAAGTAAATTGTATCAGCGTGAATTAACTCAATCTGTTGAATTATTTGGATACTTTGAAAACGGAATGAGAGATATACTACAGAAGTTATTTTTTAAAAAAATAGCTAAGATGAATGAATATTCTTTGCAACTGAAGTGTCAATAATGAGATAAGGAACTGAATCATGGACAATCAAGTTTGGTTATAAATTACATGGAAGATGCAAAAATGCAGTAATTCAGAAGAACGATGAGAACAATATGCACAGATGAAAAGGAACAAATAATATATCTTGCAAGAAATTAACTCATGGCAAATCAGCTGGAACAGATGAAATAACAGTGGAAGAATTAGAAGTTTTGGGTGAATTTGGAGTAGGGGTGCTGACTAAAATGTTGAACAATATTTATGACGGGAGATACGTGCCTGCAGATTTGTTTAAGTCTGTATTTATAGCTTTACCCAAGAGGCCAGCAGCTATGGATTACAAAGATTTTCAAAAATCAATCTTATAAATCATATTACCAATCTTCTGCTAAGAATTAAAATAATAAGAAGAAGAAAAATAAAGATGGAAATTAGTAAAAGAACAGTTTGTTTTTGTGGAGGGAAAAGGAACAAATAATGAAATATATATCCTGAGAACATTGAAAGTGAGATTAATTGAAACACAGAAGAACTTGCATTTATGCTTTATAGATTATACAAGCATTTGACAAGGTGAAACACAAGGAACTTGTCAAGATGTTGACAGATAATAACACTGATGGGAAAGATCTCAGAATAATTAAGAATTTTTACTGAAAGCAAAGGGCAACTATTTAAATGGGAAATAGAAAGTGCACATATGAACAGATCAAACAAGGAGTAAGACGGATGTGTTTTGTCTGTTTTGTCATCTGACCTCTTCTCTCTCTATGGTGAGATGATACTGAGAGAGATCAGAGATATACAAGGAATTACAGTGGGAGGTTTATAATTTAAACAACATATGTTATGCAGATGACACAATACTGATAGCTGAAAATGCAAATGATCTACAACAATTATTGGACATTGTAGTGAGGGAGAGTGCAAAAAAGGGTCTGTCCTTGAATATAAAGAAAACAAAGGTAATGGTTATATTAAAGAAAAGAATATCACCACAGTGTGATATTAGAACAGAAGGTGAAAAGTTAATCCAAGTCGATAAATTCAAATATCTGGGTACAGTCAAAACATCAGATGGAAGAAGTGTGTCAAACATTAAGAGCAGAATAAGAATAGGCCAGGCTAAGGCTGATTTCACAGAATGAAAAACATTTTGTGCAACAAGTCCCTCTGTTTGGATGTCGGAAAGAGAGTACTAAAATGTTATGTAGAACCTTTATTGCTGTATGGCAGTGAATCATGGAATGTGAATGCATAAATTAGAAAAAGCTTGGAGGCAACGGAAATGTGGGTTTTCAGACGTATGTTGAGAATCTCTTGGACTGCCAGAGTAACTAATGAAGATTGCTTGAAGGAAGCTAATGAAAGCTGATCAATATATACAGCTATAAGAAGAAGACAAGCACTGTTCTTTGGTCATGTGATGAGGGGGGAGGCTACGGAGAATGCTATAACGACTGGGAATATCAACGGTAGAAGAGGGAGAGGCAGACCGAGATAGATGATGACAGACTGTACAGTGACATGGAGGGATATTATCGGTGGAACTGATCCAGAGAATGAGGGACAGAGATTCATGGAGATGCATGAACGCTTTTGCTAGTCGGCAGGGCACGTGATGAGGATGAGACTGATGGTTACTAACACTCAGAAAAAAAACATTCTTTAAGCACATTATGAAGAAGGAAAAACTGGAAGATATCATAATAATAAGAAAGCTGGAGAAGATTATGAAAGCGTATTTTAAACAGTTTTAAATCCTGACATGCATCATAAAAGATTGGCACCATATGAAAGAAGGTTATAGACAGATATGATACCCAGTAGACTCCAGGAAAAATTTACTGATCAAGTCAATTAATTGTCATCAGTCTTTGGGAGTTCCAGTAATGCAATGGCTAGCACACTTCATGATGCTTTTAATTTTCTTCTTCTTCTTTTCTCTACTCCTGGAATGCCTCGCAGCATCAGAGCAGGAAGAGATCTCTGGAACGGGCCCTTCTGTTCACTTCATATAAAGTACTTTTCAGTGTCTCTGATATTTCTGTGGTCCACATTCTGCGTGGTTGACCTCTGGCTCTGTTATTCTGTGTAACGTTGCTCTCTGTGGTGGTACCCTGTCTGAGGTCAAACTTTTTATATGGCCAAATTATTTCATTTTTTGTCTACCTATAATGTTCAGTGTTGGTTCTGTGCAACTCTCCTCCTGACATCATCATTTATAAGTCGATCTTTCCTCATTAGCATAGTACATAAACTTTTCATTTCTGTAGTGATTATTTCCTTCCCTTTTCTGAAGACAGTGTCCATGTTTGACACTGATAGCAGAGTTGGTAAGAATACTGTACTGAAAAGTGTCCTTTTGGTGTTCATGCTCACATGCTGGAATTTCAAAACTTGCGCCATTTAGCCCAAAACTTGATTGGCTTAATTGGCTTTATTGCATCTTTGTTGGATTTCTTTATTAATTCTTCCATCTTCTGAAGAAGAAAAAAACGCTCCCCAGATGTGTAAAATGCTTCACCTGCTTTAACTGGTGTGCCTTTAAATGTCCTCTGTTGACCATCATCTTGGCTGAACATAGCTTCTTCTTTCATTAGTGCTTTTGAAATCAGTGTGTCATTTAATATGTCAGGTTAATTTATTAGCTATGACCTGCTGCTGTTTAAGAGTTAAGTTTTCTTCAATTAAGATCTTGCAAAATGTCTGCATTCTTCATCTTCTTGATCCATACCATTCTAAGATTTTTCTGTAAACTTATGTTCAAAGATTTCAAAAACTTGGATTTTTTTTAAGCGTGCTATTTGAGGATTTCTGAACAAAGCCCTTCCTCACCGATGGAGAGGTCGCATGGGAAATGAAGACCTGGCACTTCTGTCGTGGCCCCCCAAGATCTCTTATTTCACACCATGTGACTTTTCCCTGTGGGGGTGTGCCGTGTACGCACCATCTCTACCAAAAACTCGGACTAACCTGCAGAATTATATGCAAGCTGCAGTGAACTCAGTTATGCAAGAGATGCTTCTTCATGTGTGGGATGCAGGGCAGCAGACAGCGGCCATATTGAACATCTATAACCTCTATTGTAAGTTTGTTAATTTTAGACCTCTCTCTCTCTCCCTGGTGTGTATAAGTACACATTAATGAGAGTGTATCCTTTATACTGAATAGTTAAAATGACACACTTGGTATGGAGAACAACCAACCAACATGTGTATATCACAGCATCTCCATCGTCTAGTTGTCATTAAATGGGAGACCGTGACCAGTGTATACTCTGCCATTTTCTACATATTGTCCAATTTGATACTGAGAGAAACAAGGTCCTAAATCTTGATGCCACTGTTGTGCAGTCTTTCCCCAGAATCAATATTAGTGAGCTCACACTAGTATGGCAGTGTATTCAGCCAAACCTACCAATGATTTACCCTTCTTTCACACTGTTGCCTTTTTCAGTGTTGAGAAGTTTCTACTGGATACAGACATAATCTACACTGTTACAGAGTTTTCAACAAAAGCAACAAATTACACCAGTTACATTGCTTGACTAAGTGTCCAATCAGAAAGAAGGTGTGTGTGTTCAAATTTGAACTTGCAGCAAAGGATTGCAATCCATACTCACCAGTGTAGTGCTGTGTCAGATTAACCTGTGTACAGAAAATGCTGGACAAGTTGTACTCATATGTTACGGTTTTCTGGATGACTTTATAGTGTGAAAATGAACACTTAACCATCCAGTAGTGAATTAGCAAGTGACTGGGACAGAGAGACAGACATAAGTAACTCAGTGAAATGTGTCCAGTAAACAATAAATATTGATGAGTTGCTGTTCTGCCTCATCTGCCATGTACACTTTTAGACTGCAGCTACAACCCAAGCAGGGTTATTACAGCAACCTCCATAAAGGTGATACAAGTAAAGGTGAGGTGTTTAGAAGGGACAGAGATGTAGTTTTATAGACAAATGATGAGAATACACTGGCCTGATGAAAAGAGTATGAAGATGGCTTGAAGAAACGAACTCACCAACAGAACTGATTGTCTACATCAAAAAATTTTCTTAATTCTTTCATATTATCATGATAAGCAGAAAACTGGAGTACATCATGATGTGGGGAAAGCTGTACGGTAAAAGGGGCAGAGGGAGACCAAGAGAGAAGACGCTGGACAGTCTGATATCATGACATGGAAGATCATCTGAATCACACCTGACTGAAAGTTCATGAGACAGATTTTGGACAGACATGACTACCAACACATGGCATGGACTTGAGGAAGAAGGTACAAGTAAGATCAAACAATACTGTGCATTAGTTAGGAACAAATTCTAATAACCACCAAAGTTGTGAAATCATCCTAATCCTCAATATTTATTTTTGCATTCAGTGCCGTTTCAAAAGGGACAACAGATTTGTTCAAATTTAAGTTATTTAATTTGTACAAACACAAATATGAAGCCACATGTAAATAATTTTGATACCTGATACTAATACTGCACCATCTTAATTCCTTCCATCAAAATTGCACAGGATTGTCTTGTTCTTGAAACTAACTACTATTTTGTATTACATACGTTAACATAATTCTAAGTGTGAACAAGGACGAAAACAAATGTTCAGTTCAACATCAGAGGATAAGAAAACAATTACTGACTGAAAGCTGCAGCAAAATACTGAAATCAAACTGAATGGTTACAAATTTCATTTGCATGTCATTTCCATTAACATTTATTCTGTAACAATAAAGAAATAAAACAATAGGCTACAAAATAAATTATGGAAAAAGTAATGTGGACAAATTAGACAAGGAAGCAGACTGTAACTAAAACAAATTACCTAAGACTAACTGTATTCTATGGGCCAGCAAGTTACTCTTCTCTCCCCTTTCTCTGTCCACTGCTGCTTTGATATGCTTGATATTCTGCCACTTACTGTGACCTGCCTCAAGACTGCTACTGGTATTAATTTGCTTATCAAAAGCTAATCTGAAGGTTTGTGACTTTTGACTGAATACATTTAGTGGCAAATTAATGCCATGCATCATGCGCTGACTTAAATCACCAGCCTTCAGTAATTGTAAGAAACTGTTTGATGAAACATGAAGTTTCATTATGGTGCTTCTATGGAAACTAGCTAAACATCTGGAAGACATTTCCACACAAAGTCAGTTCTTGGACACAACAAAGGAATCTGGTTTCAAGACCACAGCTCTTATGAAGTACAACTCCTGTCTCCTGCAGACAAAGAAATGCAGATTAAGAAGCAATCTTAGTGAACATACCCATTATTTACTAGTTCTTGAAAACAAAGATGTTCTTAAATTAAGTCTGTGTTAAATGTGGTTGTATAGACTGTCTTACTTTCATGTTGGGTTCATGGTTATCCACATGAAATGTTTAAAATTAGTCAATTATGTGGTCACCATTCTGGGAAACACTGGTCTAATCCTATTCTATCACGGCTTCTAATGCTAAAAGAAAATGAGTTACTGTCCAGACCTCAAGTCTGAAAGGAGATAACAGTTGTTGCTTTTTTTAAACTAATTCTCAAAGGTATGTAAAAAAATATACAGTTGCTTAAAGGAAATAACTCCAGTGCATGTTGAGGGTTAGTGTTTATGGCATTAGTTTGCAGCAGGGAGTAAATAGCTTGCTGAAAATAGCGGTGACCTAAAATCTCAAAGTCCATGCTGTGTGGCATTGGTAGTCATGTCTATTCACAACCTTTTGTCTCATGTACTTTCAATCAAATCTGATACTGCTGATTGTACCATGATGTCAAGCTGTTCTCCCTCTGCCTCTCTTCCCCTCCATTTGTTTCTACCGTTACGACACACTCCAGTTTTCTCCTTCTCATCACATGACCAAAGAATGTAGATTCTCTCTTCCTGATGTGGGCAATCAGTTTCTTTCATGAGTCAGTTTCTTTCAAGACATCTTCATTACTCTTTTTATCTGTATAGTGTATTTTTTTTTATAAAACCACATCTGCGCAGCTACCATATAATTTTTCACCAATCTACCAACTGTCCATCATTCCCTTCCATATTTTAAGATAGGATTTATTTAGCTTTTAAGAATTCTCTTTCTTGCCTCTGACATAAAGGGACCGCACAAAATATTCTTCATTTTGTAAAATGGTGCCTCTATTTGAGCTATTCTACATTTAACTTCTAAAATACATCTTTCATCTGATGTTATCAGGGTGCCCAAAAACTTATCAGCTTGCTTGAGGTTTGTCCTATTTACTTTGATGTTGCATTATGGAGGGTCAGTTTTCTTTGTAGTTACAATTACTTCTGTTTTTCTACCATTCAAACTAAGACCCTTGTTTTAATTTTCCGTTACAACTATATTAATCATTTCTTGCAGTTGCTTCATTTTCAGCGATCAAAAGTATCGCATATCGCAGGCTGTTAAAAATATGCCCACCAACCGATATTCCTGTCATACCATGCATGTATATAATTATTATTTCAAACTGTACAAACTGAATAAATCGGGTGGTAGTACACATCTCTGTCTAACGCCTTGTTTTATGTTTTGAAAAGTTTTGACTGGCTGCCAATCCTTATGGCAGCTTCTTGTTGCCAGTATATGGTTTTTATTATTCTCAGATGTTTACTATCAAGGTTTCAAAAATTATGATAATTTCACGTGACTACTATTCACCATCCGTGAGTTCTTGGGACAGACTGTTTAGTACTATACTCATCCTTATCCACATAAGACAACAGGTAACACCTGGCTGATGTAGCCATTATAGATGCCTTAATATAAACTTTTCTGAAGGTTGAACATGGTATCTGAGATCTGCCTTGTTGGTCTGTCATTCAGACTAAGATTTTTCAAATCTGAAGGTGGCAGCAGCCTGGAGATGACAACCTGATGGCTCAAACTGCTGTCTGTACTCAATCGCACTGTACTTTTACTTTTCAATGACAAATATATACGTCGATACAGATAAATCAGTAGAAAAATAATACACTACATCTACAGCTAGTCGCATGCACAGCAAAAACTCTGGTCTAGTCTGGAGATTCCTCTGCTTTCCTTGTATCAGTCAATAGCAAAACATGGGTTTTGTGAGTACAGACTTGACATCACAGATTTCAATACAAGCCCATATTAGCCCCATCTCTCCTAAACAGCCAGCAAAGAGTTTCAATACTGATGGCATATTGTTGTCATCTGGTCCTCTACCCAAATCTCAAGTGGCCCCCAAGAGCTTGTAAACACTCCTTGCTGCATCATTCTCTCCAGGTATGGCTGTTCAGTATCTTCCATTCTACTTGTTACCTCATCCCACACGGGACAGATCACTTCTGCCTTGTGCAGTTGCAGAACACTAATCAATGGAATCAGTTTAGTCACCTCATCCGTATGTTTTTTCTTTCCCAAATACAACCTCGTCGTCCAGACAAAATATCCATGTAACTCTCAACAGCTGCAACCTCTGAACTGATGCGAACCATTTAATAAAGAAGAAACCTGATTCCACCTTCCATAGCGATTTCGAAAGCAGCACATATGACATCGATATCACAACTTATTATGATAACATGTGAAGATAAGATTTTCCCACCAACTTGAATGTCGCAGTTTATGAGTTACCGGCTCAACATCCAAAGCCAATACCTCTATAGCCCTAGGTGTTGGAAGAATACTGACAGTTGCCAATGATGTCCTTGCATATAGGCAGGAGAGAGATAGGAAACAGATAGCCCACGAGCTGCAGGCTACTGTAGACAAAGTGACTGACTAGTGTGCAGAAATGGGTGCTGTCATCAACTCAGAATAGGCAGCTGTGGTGCTCTCTGGACAATAGAACTGTAAAAGCTAAAGTTCCAAACCTCACAGTTAAAAACAGCAACATCAAAAGAGAAAGCAAACTGAGGTGCCTGTGTATCATTTTCGATAGAAGCCTGTCCTTCAGGAATCATGTGAAGGCAGTTGCGGTGAAATGCCAAAATGGACTCAATGCTCTCAAGATTATGACAGCAACGGACATGGAACAAAGAATACGGTTCACCATGTTCCAGCATGTGATCCTGTCAGTAATAGATTATGGACTAGGTATGCTTACTATATCAAAGAGTCAGTTGATGAAACTTGAACGCATACAAAATGAAGCCATGCTGGCAAATTCTGGGATGTAAAATAGATACCCCGGCAGTATGTATGCAATATATACTTGCACTGTCTACTACTGCAGATAGGCTCCAAGTTCTGCAAGCAAAGTCATATCTAAGAGTAGCTGCAGACAAGAAGCACCTCCTGCATAAAGCCCTGGATAGAGCTAAAGGGTCACAGACTGAAAAGAGGAAAGTTTCGGATGGCGCAAGCTGAAGAGTAAGACACAATTAGACAAGTCTGCAGACTTGATAAGTTTAGACAAGGAGAGGAGTGGGTCAAAGTGTCCGATCAGGTTTCAGACTTGTGTAGGGTTCTAATCACTTTGGGACATGAATGCAGGGACTGGCCAGTTAGTGATACAGAATCAGAAGTTCAACAAATGATTCATGAAAATTCCTGCCCAGGTGATGTGACTGTATATAGATATGGCTCTATGATGAGGCGATGAGGGGCAGATGAAGTGCATGGGGGTTCATAGTTAAGGCGATGGACGTCCCTTGGTGCAACAAAGCCTGGCATATGATAACATGTATAGTTTGAGAACGGAGGTTGAGGCAGTCACTGCTGCCTTCCGCTAGCTTGGAATCAGCTGTATACATATGCCGTCATTGTAACCGACTCACAGAGCATGTTGAGAAAGGTGTAGTGATGTAGTGTAGTAGTCTGTAGTAGTAAGTAGTAGTAGTACTAGTAGTAGCAGTAGTAGTACTAGTGTAGACACATCTATAGCAAAAGGGTTCATGTAAAATAAATTAAGTTACTGTGTACTGTAACAGACAAGCGATCCGCTAGATTTTAAAGCTTAATAAATTATAAATGTTCACTCAGAAACTGCCAATGTAATTATTCTGAAAATTAATTACATTACAGCAAGCAGACATGTATTTCCCACTTTACTTACGCATTGCCAGCCACTACTATAGTTAGCAAGGACACACACTGAGCTCTTTGTAGATTAAGTTTACAAAAACAACTAAGCATGACAGAATGCTATTGGCACGAGTACGGCTATAACATATTACTGTTGGGGAACTTTACACTACAGATAGATAGCTTTATCCCTCCTGCATATACCTGCCTGGTCTGACTTCAGGTTACTTTGCAACCATAATGGGCATCCCAGTATAATCTCGGTTGAACGTGGGCTTACCGGGATTTGTATAAGTAGGATTCTTATCTTTTAGGTGTTAATTTTGTGGCTGCAATCCATATTGGCGGACATGGGGGTGCAACCTGGAGTAGCCACTAGAACATTTCATAAAGAGCACAAGGGGTCTGGATAATCAACACAGAACGGGAGCAGTTATTCGCTTTACTCTTGTGGAGTTATTGAGAAGGAGACGGGAGAACCTAGGGATCTGTCTGGAGTTATGTGATGATAGTCATCACTCAACACTATAATAATAGAGGGAGAAAACTGCATCCGCTCATGACCAATCAATTTAAATCTACTTTATTGTAGCACTAATAAATCAGGTTACCCAAATGATCTTGCAAATCACGATAAAGCCGACTAAACGGATTTTTTAATACGAATTTTGTAACGTAAGTGATTAGCGAGTAGTCTGTTGCTATAGAACTGGTGGTGCGGCCACTGATCTGTTGTAATTACTGCATCCATCGTCGACGAACTGAAATTCTAGTGGCAGGCAGAGAGTGTTTTCACTTCTGGAGGCTGTCTTTTGCATTTAATGTGTGCGTGTGCGGGCGGGCGGGCTTGCGTGCGCGATAGCAGATACTGCATTCTCTTACTGCAATTAGTTAACAGAACATGTATTGCGTAAAGCACATATCATTCGACCAGGACATAAAAACCAGGCATATTAACCAGAGAACAATGTTTGAGAAATGAAAAGACAGACAGTGGAGAGAGGGAGAGAGAGAGAGAGAGAGAGAGAGAGAGAGAGAGAGAGAGAGAGAGAGAGAGAGAGAGAGGTGCAGACCAAAAATCGGTAGATTTTTTCAGAAAATGCAGGGGGCTGAGTGGTCTCCGGGCATAACCTTCGCCTCGAGAGCT